CCCGTCGTCGATGAAGGGCTTGCACGCTGGGTTGATCTTCATTCGATTGGCAGTGCCTCACTGCTCCCAATATCGCCTGCATTCCTCTGGCATTTCAAGAGCAAAAGCGGGTTGCCCCGCAGGGGCAGCAGCTGGCTCGCCATGCGCCCTTGCTGGCTCAGATGCCACAGGTGCTGCCGGCGCAGCTGAAGAGCTGGCGCCCCCAGATGCCTTGCCCTTCTAGCCAATGTGGAAGTACTGGCATCCACTAAGATTGGGAGCCGCTCCCGATGCCTTCGAGGTAGTTCCCAGCGCCTCGCGCTTAGCACCGCCCTTTGATGAAGAAGCCCCCTCGGGCGATCCCCCCAATGCTGGCGCCCAGCCTGCCCCGTGAGTCCGGCCAGGCGTAGGGCCGCGACGGCGCGCAGGATCCTTTTGGAGTAGGCGTACTAGCGCCCTGGCACGCCGCTGCTGCGGCGGCCGCTTCTGGCCCCCTGGATCGACGGCTCTCAGCGAGTTGCCCCGCAGAACGCTTAGACTTGCTGCTTCCAGGGTCGGGATCATCTGGACTATGTCTCTTCTTCTGTCTAGGCGGCGGCACAGGCTGATCGGGTCCGAACGACTTCGGCTGGCTTGAAGAGTGCGGAGGCCGGGATATATCCATGTGTTTTTCTGGCCTTCATGTGAGAGGAGGTCCCTTTGGCTTTGCCGCTGCAAGTTTCCCCGCCGAGGAGCACCTGGCCCTTCTGCCGGAAGTAAAGCCCTCCTGTTCTCCAGGCCTTCTGAATGCAATGCTCCTGATTTTGGCAGTACGCCTGCAGTTCAAAGCATACAGATCAGCTTCAACATGTCTTACGATATGGGCTTTTATTCCACCTGCGGCTTTAGCGTGGTAGGCGACTGTTCTGCCCGGGGAGAGATCCATATCTTCCGCGCCCCTGTCGCAAAGATCTATTATTGTGTTGGTGACGTAAGTGTAGTCCATGGCAGAGGTGCAGTCCGTGTCGGAGTAGTCCGAATCGGACCCTGACGGAGCAGCCTCGGCGGGGTCTACTGCCTTGGCAAGGACCTGATTACCCGCCGCCTCATCACCTTCTGGCTGGTCGGCACCTTCTTGTTCCGACGAGGCGGATTCCCCCGCATGGCACTCACGATTGAATGCCCTCAGGTAGCGATTCGAAGCAAGGTTCTCCCATATCTCTTCGGTGCGAACTCTCTTCCATGCCCATCAACTGGCCGGTCATAAAATATCGTCAACTGTTCTTCACGCGGGCATTTGGTCGGGTCTACGGCGCGACCCCGACCATCACCATAGGACCAGAACCATTGCGTTCTTTCGAAGTTAGGGCTTCTTGACAGACGCCTCGTCTGGCAACCGGGTCTGCGGTCGGCACAGGTAAAGCAAGTACAGACAAAACCTCGGTAAGTCCCCCTTTCTTCGACGATGGCCCTCTTGGGGCCCCGTCTCTCTGCGCCTCCGTTGGCGACTCCGTTGGCGCCTCCGTTGGCGCGGACGACCTTGCCTTCATCGTCCCGCTCAACATTGCTAAGTGAATATCAGTGACGAATGTCATTCTCGGCCAAGCCTTGGTCGAACCAGAATAGCATCGCATCGGGGGATATGCACTGGCGAGCTAGTCCATGATCATCAAAGCTGACACGGCGCTGCACGCCTTCTGCCCGAGACGCGGCTGGGCGGCCCCCCCTCTGAGGCGGGTTTCGCCGCGGGCGACCCCTGCTCGGCGGGGCCCTTGGTCCATTACCCCTCCTTGGCGGGGCCCTTGGGAACCTCGCATCAGGGGGGTGGGGGCGCCGGTTGCCGCTGGAGCGAGCACCGCTGGAACGCGCGCGCGCGCGCCCGCGTGAATAGCTGCGGACGCGACGATGACGCTGCACGCGCCGGTCTTCAGCGGCCCACTCTTATTCATCATCATCTGAGAGATTCGCGCGTCTCCAGACTCGGCGGCTTGCTGATCGCCCTTGGCGGCTCGGACACCGCCCCATAGCCGCGCATGTGCACTGGCGATCTTCATTATGTCCAAATTCGCATTGAATGCGCTCTGAATCGTCGCCAGCATCTCGCGCGTTTCCCCGCAATGGATCGTCGTCATACGATCCCAGATTTGTCGGATTGTCAATGACCTGCGGACGAAGCATCATTCGCATTTCCTCTTCTGCCGCTGGAATTGTGGCTTCAGAATCAGCAGGTGCCCCCGCCATATCTTGATCTTCTTCAGCGGGCATGTGGCAATTCTCAACAGATTCGACATGCGCAGGTTGCCCCGCGATGGGCATACCTAACTTGATCTAATCATGGCCAACGCAAATATCCTCGCAGAGCTCGTCGGCGCGACTCTCGAGGAACATGCTGGCACTCAGATATCTGGCAGCCATGAAGTTTACAGCTGTAACTGAAGCGTCGGCAAGATCGGCCAGTTTCGCCCCCCTTTCAACGCGCTGCATGTCCGACTCGGTTTGAGCCAAATGCACCGACGGACCTCTGCCTCCCCCACCGCCTCTGGGGCACTCACGGCGAAGGTGTTGCGTGCCATGGCAGATGTCACATGCCATTGTTTTGCCGTTAGCGTCTCTCGGGTTGCCCCGACGCCCCCCGCCCTTTCCTGAAGCGCGCCTGCGACCCCTGCCTGCACCGAGGAATAGTTCTTCATATTGTGGTCCAGTAAGAGATGCCAGGAAAATGAACGCACCTCTGCCTCGCAATCGCCGTCGTTTGCCCAAACCCTTGCCTCGGCCCTTACCCTTTCGTCTGAGTGGCCGTCGGATAGTACGTCGTACCCTGCAAATTGGCCCCTTCATAAACCGTAGCAATCTGCGTTTATGCTTCTGCTATCCCAGAATCAACCATTGAGCCGGGTGTTCTTCCGTAAGATACGCGGGCATGTCGGAGTAGTCTAGGGGATTGGTCTCGTCGTCTGGCGACGCGTCGGCGTCGGTTCTAGAATCGAAGTCAGACTCAGCGGGCTGCCCAATTGAGCCTACAAGGGTCGTGGCTCGCGCGGGGGCCGCCGTTGCCAGCGGCCCCTGATATCTGGCCCGGGAATCTTGCGACCCCGCAGCCGGACCACCACTTTGGCCTAATAGCGCGGTGGTCTCCGTTGGCTGCGGATCGCCATTCCTAACGTTTGTAGCAGGTTGCCCTGCATTGGCTTCAGCATGCAAAATTTCGGCGCGGCGACCGCGGCTGAAGACACCACCAATATTGTCAGGGGTTCGCTCAGCGATGTGAGCACATGACCTCGCGCGTTCAAGAAGAGAGCCAAATTGCTGTTGATTCCTCGGCATGCGGTGGTTGAGCGGCTGTAGAAGTTGTTGTGCGCGCGACGTCCCCACGCCTGAGGCTCTGAACAGAATAACAGCTAAGATTTGGAAGTTGGGGATGCTATAGCCTGCCGCTTCGGCTTCATAGCGGGGCATCTCGAAGCGCGCCAATGCCTGTTCGATCCGCCCCCTCGCATGGACTCGGAAGTCGATGAGAGCAGTACCCGAGTTAACTTGGCGTTCCTCCTCTAAGTTCTCCAACTTCGTGCTAAGGGGAAACATAATGTAAGTGACACCATCAGTATGGCGGCCACCTATGTCGACGCCAAAATTGATGGTTGCTGGGGAAACTATCATGACTATGGTCCGTGCGAGGCCTCCCAGACCACGCTGCAATGCTGCGGCTTGTTGGGGAGGCGTCACATTGCCTGTGGTCGCGTTGGTCCAAGAGTGCGCCTCTCGAACGAATTCGCGGAAAGGTACTTGACCGACCTGGCCCCAGTGGGCACGTGTTGTTCTTGCGTCGTCTCCGCCGCGCATGTGTCCCACAGCACGCCCGATAGCAACCCATGTCAGATCAAAGATAGTAGCACCAATCAAATGGCCCCGTAGGTCGTGGTCGGATGTTGTTGGCTGAGGTTTGTGGTGTTTTGTTGTAAGCCTGCGTGGGGGTGGAGGCGGCACAATATCGTACCGCGCGTTGCCATGCATGATATATTCGAGGATGTTTCCAGATGGAATTGGCGGGTGGATTTCAAGAGTGTAGTAGCGCAGGAATGCAGGACTCGAGTGAAAGGCCTCTGCGAGAACAAGGGTAGCACTGCAAGTGTCCTTGCGGTTGTGCGTAGTGATGTACATTCCTCCGCGCAGACCCACTGCACCCTGATGCTCCACCATGTCAACCGTCTACCAGATAGTGCCGTGGATGGTGAGGAGTAGAGCGAGAGCTGACCACCATAGGCCAGCTCCGCTACCAAGTTTGAAGGGGGGCGGTAGGCCCGTCCAGATGCTACGCGTTAAGCAAAGCACAGCTCTTGCTCTGTTATCGTGGCAACGATAGTCCCCGTCGTAAGAGGTCGTCGCGGGAGCGACGGGCCATCTCAAGCGAAGGATGTTTCCGGTCTCGATAGCGAATAGTATGCCTCGCGATGAGGCGCAATCATATGTTGGCGGACGGCCGCTTGAACACAAACCGCCGTGGACAAACGCACGCTATCTCTCGCCCTTGTCCCATCTTACGTTTGAGTGGCAAGGCCCGAACACATACACATGCACCAGTCCACCAGAGACAAGAAACACGTCATGCGCTGCACCGCGAGGCAGAGGCCACCGCCGCGCGCCTGTGCCAAGCACAATCAATATCGCTCAACCATACGAGCAGGCATGGGCCACATGCCATTCGGTCGAAATGCGCGAAGTCGCCCTGTCAATGACCACCTGG